CAGCAGTGATAGAAATGCCCTGTGCTAAACAGAAATCATCTATGTAACACACGGGATCAGTAAGCATAATTCAATAGCAAGCTGATTTCAAGCTCATTTCAGAAACACACACAGATGTCTTTGAACCTTACCTTTCAGTGTATGTTATCTTCCTGCATAAGTGATTGGCTGACTACTGACATTCTTGGTGTTCGACAGAACAAGCTGTCTCCTTCCAACTTGACTGATAACCAGACTGACACCCATTACTCCCCTCTTTCTCTTTCCATTTCCAATAGTCCCCCAAATCGTAACTTTTCCTTTCTTTTAATATTCTGGAATGTATTGCTTTCCCAAACCACAGTATAAAATGCAGCAGGGAAATAATTATCTGCTTCTGCAGCATGCAAGTTTTAAAATTATATGCCCAGCATTACCAACACAGAGAGTTAAGACTCAAATCCCCACAGCAACAACATGCTAACCATCCTCTTCCCCCAGACTTATGGAGCTGCGGGATGTCTGCCAGGGAAAAACAGAGAAATGTAAAAAGGACTGCAAGAACATGAATACTAAAATAAATATCACAAACCTGGCTGTTGGAATCACAGACTGAGAAAAAGCTATTAAATCAGCTAAGCCATCTTCTCACTGAAGGCAGGAATGTTCTCTGTACATTAATTTCCTGCTGTTTTCTCCAGCGTGTGTTCAAATGGGCCCCAAAGTCCACTGTGTGCAATGGACACTGCTCCAGCCTTCAGGAGGCTTCACATCAGACCATAAACTCTGAGGATTGAAACACCTCTCCTAAACAATTACTGGACTAGGCAGTAGGACTACCCAGATATATTTAAGTACTTTTTGTGGTCCTCAAATAAATCTTTGTATTAAGTTGGGTTTTTTTAACTTTTTCAGCCTGAAATTTCTGGTGTTACATCTCACCAGCATAAATATTTCCCCATCTACTTGAACTTCCCAGCTTTTTTATGCATCTTATTTATGTTTTTTTTCATTTCAAGCCAATCTTTTATTTTGATCCCAGTTCTCCACTCACAGATTTTGCTTTATTCTAGGTTCACTGTCATGTCCACCATCTCTCCCCACATCTCACTCCACTGACCTCACTGTTTTCCCCATCATCCACCCTTTGTCTCAAGTCTAAAAACACCACTGACACTTCTTGAAAATAATTCCAGCAGCACACAATATGAATCCAGACTTGAAGCAACATGGCTCATGCAGATGTCACTGAAATAATAATTAGAAACCAAGCTAAAATATTGATGCTGATAATTATAATAATAATTTTAAGAAGTCAGTAAGTGGGAGAAAACTATAAAGATGTCCTCTGTTGAGGAATGAACTCTGCTAAGCTGCAAACATCTGAAGGTCAGGAAGCACAATGTGACTGTAGCACATCACAGCAAGAAGCTGAACAGGGGTAGTTGCCAGATTTTCCACCACCAGTGAGACAAAGAAAGAAGAGAACTGTGGGACTCTAGGCAGTACCAAGGTCAGGGGCAAAGAGGCAGCAATAGGAAACATGTTCCTTTTGCTCAGCCAGCCTGACAGGCTGAGGTTTGGGGAGGCAAATAACAAAATGTAGTATCAAAAAAAAAAAAAAAAAAAAAAAAAATAAAAAAAAAAAAAAAAAAAAAAAAAAAAGGCATTTCCATGCAGCTATAAAACATCAAAGCTGTATTTTTTTCAGGGAAAACCAGTAAGACATGAACAGTAAAGCACCTTAAAGAGGAGCATGAGAGTTTGTGATAGACTACATAGTGACATACTTGTTTCTCATGCACATCTTGGCCATTGCTAACCAGAAACTCTTCTGAGAGCTTTTACATGGGCCCAGGTCTCCCCTAGACCACAGTGCCCCTCAAAAACTGTCAGATCATCCCTCACATGGGGAAGGAGACCCTTTATTTAAACCCCCAAAAAGCACTACAGAATACTCTGCATCGATGGTCCGAATCGTCTCAGTAACATTTTTACAACCATCAGCTTCACTATCAGAAATTCCTGCTTTTGCTGAACCTCCCGAAAAATGCTTGTCACAAACTGACCACCAGAGAGTGAACTTACTGAGACTAGAAAAGCAGTGACTTATTCTGAGAAGTAGCTTGAAAACACTACGGGTTTTTTTGCTAAAATGCCCATTTCAGACAGTTCAGATAGAGGCCAATCAATGGAATCAGTCTGCTATCTTCAGTTCTGCCACCAGAAAAGGAATACTGAAATAATCCTAAAAAGGAATTATTCTGTGGGAAAGGATAAGCCAGGGAAATCACACTGCTGTTGAAATCTTTCCTTCTCTTCATCTTCTGCAACAGAATGCAGGTCCTGGGAAAGCAAAACCACCCCTTGGCAGCCTGGTGTGCTCACCTGACAAATGAGGGCTTTCAAGGGAAGGCAGCACAGTCAAATGTCATGGAGACACTTGAGGATTTTAAGTTTGATCGTGCACACTTCTACTGATGGAATCATTAGGCTTCCGCAATGAATAGCATTTGTCAGAGATTGAAACATTTCCCACTGCATTTTAAAAAAATAAACAAAACTAAACATGCACTTCTAAGCCTTTTTAGAAAATATCTGAGGTGGTTTTCTGTGCCAGCAAATCTAAATTTGATAACTGTTATCAGTCAAATAATACTCAGTTCTGTGAGTGTATCTTGTCCCTGGAAGTCCTAGCTATTTCCACCCATACAAGCAAAACCAGGGAATGTAATTCTGAATTACCTGTAAGCCTCAAAGCCCTACTCTTTTTGTCCTCTTCTGTTTAGAATCTCATATTTCACATATCAATTAATACTTCAGTGCCTCATTATATATCTCACATATTTGTTAACTGTAGATCTGCAGGGCACTGAGCAATCTGGTTTCTAACATGGAAAAAAAACCCCCAGTGTCTTAAATAAAACCTCTTATTTTTCTATAATTCTATAATTCCAATCACCTTAACCTGCATTAGGAAAATAAAAAAAGGCAACAAAATCCCCCAAGTTATTTCTCACCATGCTAAAACACACATCATTGCTCTCCATTGCAGGTTATAATGACCTGTTACAGACAGTATGAGAAAATTCTTGACTGAATTTTTTTTCTTCATATTAGCTACTTCCTTTGCTCTCGAACATAAATATTGCACATTTCTCTCATTATTTTCTTTATAAAGAACACTAACATATAACTTGTGAGCTTTAACTGAAAAAAAAAAGATTATATGGACACAGCAAGTAGGAAATGAGATAAATTATTTGGGTTTTGGGACTATGTAGAAACATCCACTTCTATGAAATTTCATCCAAAAATATACTGTACCTATGGCACACCAAAGTCCTGACAAGGCATCCAGGAAAGTATACAGACACCAAGTTCAGCAAATATGAAAATTGAATATTTGCCTAAGAAATCCAATTCTGTATTTATTTAAAGCAGTTATAACTTAGAAAGTTTCTTTGTCGGTCTTATTTTGAATGATTGTATGATTTTAAATTACTTTTTCTTATTTCCCTCCTTGGTTCCCACAACTATACAGTAAATGAATATTCCATTTATGAAAATTTTGTTTTTTTTTGGCTCACTAGCAGGATCATTTTCTGAATTAATTTCTCATCCATACAAATAAACTGTTTATTTATTCAATTTGAAAAATCAACAAACCCTAATAATATTGCTTTGTTTCAACCTTAAAATTGTGCTTTACCATATATCCAATATATTTTAGATACTGGAGTGCTGTAAGATCTACAGATAGACTGAATCTTTGTCAAGGCTGAACACAATATTATAATCCTACATACAATAGTGCCAGAATGTATAAAAACATTGTAATATTTCAATTAAATATTTAAATTGATACCTTTTTTTAAGTAAAACCAAATCTTTTTCCTGAAAAATATACTCTTTTTACCTTTAGTTATCTAAAAATACCTACAGAGGTAACTAATCTAGGTAAGTAATTACCTCTAGGGAAGGAAATTTTAAATAAATATCTAAGAGCCACAAAAATCATTCCTCACTCTAAAAAATTTGCCTTAGTCTCTGGCAGTAATATATAAACTGCTATGCTGCTGTAAACCATGTGTGTATGTTCATATAGAGAAAATTAGAAGTTCCCAAATGAGAATACTCATTCTAAAGGAAAATAGCCAAAAATACAAGTTACGTGGGGAAATTTAAAAAGTTGACATTCCAACAGGAATAAATTAGGGTTGAGGGGGTTTGATTCTACATTTCCGTTTGCATTTTGGGTATGTCACCTGGTTAAACTCCCGAAATCTTTCAAAATATTACTTATTGAGAAGAACACTATGTGAGTACTGAAACACATTTAAGACACAGTTTGGTTTAATTTTAAATTGAAGAATGTTCTTTTTCTTTACTCTTTTGTGACAACTGGCCACATCCTCATTTCCTAGCCTTGTACAAGCCCCGCTGGGTGTAAAAAGCCACTTGCTTGTGCCACTCACTTTATCCTAATTGATTTCAGTGGAATTTGTGTGTAATAAATTGACAGGGTCTTCCCTTTTTGTGCAGCAGCACCGCTCGGCTGTGGATTCATTTCTGCTGCCAATATTCTCATCTGATTTCAGAAAGAAATCCGATGCTAACAACTCTTGAAAGGACAAGAGCACAAAAGAGAAGTGGCCTATGCATCCCTGTAGTTCAAGATGAATGAAATGCCAAAGTACCAGCACATATGTCAAAGGTGGGATGTGGAACACAGCTCACATGTAAATATATTTATAGTGATACTACTTCTGACATCACTGTCTCTTTCTCTACTAAGGTCTGGAGATAAATTAGAAAATTAAACAAGCAAATCCTTCACAGCTACATTTTCTTCTTTAACATACATAACTTTGAAAATTAACTATTATGTCATAATACTGCTGCTGCATCAATGCCATTGAAACCCTGTCATCTGATTCACGTCCAGGGAGGGTGTCACTAGGTTTGTTACCTTTATTTTTCCAGGTATTGCCTCCAGGACTGATGTAAAATAAAAAAACAGTTAACAGCCACTCCTCCTACCCTGAAGTCATGTCCACAAAGAGCCCCCCTACGTGGTCCATGTGAGATAAAGAAAGGCTGCCCCTGAACTGTGCACTGTCCATCAGTTGATTCACTGGCTGCTTGAAATACTCACTTGCAAATTTTTATTTGCATTGGTGAAAAGATTTTCATGGGGCAGAAAAAAAAAAAAAGCTAAAATAAAAATACGCAGTTTAGAGGTGGAAAGTCAACAGAGATCAAAATGCAAAAATATCTGGGAGGAAAATAAGCAAGTTCTGAAACGAACTCACTGTGTATTTTTTTAAAAATTTGTTTTCCCTACTGTTTTATTTTATCAACACGGTGAAATCTGAACTTTTTTTTTTGATGTTGACAAACCTGAGGTTTCCCCTAGTATGTGTTGGAATTGACATTTATTATCGTTCTTGTGGAAGGTACAAGACAGTTAACCTCTGTCAGTAGCTAAACTCTGATCTACCCCATCCCCACTACATTAGGCAAAGTGTCTTGAACTTTTACCAAAATCCTCTCATATTAACGACACAGTGTTGAGTGAAAAAAACTCAGAACAGCAATAGAAGAATAGAATCTCTCCAAGTAGAAATGTTTTGCTTTTCTACCAAAGAATCAGAAGAAAAGCTGTCCCACAAAGCCAAAGCAATCCTTGTATTACTATGCATGATAAATGTCCACAGGCCAGGTGAAATCCAGCAGCAAATGATGCTGGACACTGGACAGCCCTACAGTAAAGCAGCCTCTGCCCCAGATTCCAGCCTCCAGAAACTCAACAACGGAGATGGGAGGAAAACAACCGAGCACGGGAATTATCAGTGCAACGGCAGCACACTGTGTTCCTTCCATTTGCTTTTAGGGAGAAGGAAAAAAATAATGCAAGATTAGCATCACAAAAGACAGAAGTGGGAAGAAGATGGGATCTGCTAAGAGTCAGTGAGAGGAGGGAAGAGGTGCTAAGGAATCGAGTGGAGCGCAGGGATGCGATTCCGAGAGCTGGCAGGAAAGGAGGCTTGTGCAAAACCAGCCGATTAGGAAAACATGGCAAAAACAATCCAAACTAGCAGTCACCATCAGCCTCCTTCATATGCCACTTGTGCAGCTGCTCTGCTGGCTTCAGTCTTTGGTTCAGTGACAAGACCCTCGATGCCATAAGGGAAGCCGGGCTGACTGCATGGCAGAGGAATTCAATGTAAAAGGTGATGAGGACACACCACATAAAAAGTAAGCTTGCAAAGAGAAGCGATACACTCTTGGTTTTAGCAGAAATGTAGAAATTAGACACATGTAACAAGTGAGGGCTAATGCTTGCAGCTGAAATGTATTTCTGCATTGCACCTCTCAATCAGTAAAGATGAGCCCTTACTGCACTGATATTAGTCTGACACAGAATACAGCATATTTAAATGATATGACGAACTCAGCCTTTACTCCTGTAGTAAATCGCAGCATTTTAAATTGTGACTGAATGGAAGATGCTAAGCACTTTGTGTTTAGGTTACTCTAATGAATCTCAAATCAGTTATGACTGCAAGTTGCCTCATATATACCATGATGGCTAATTGTTGATCCTAATACAATTCCCACTGCTTTGTCAAAGCATGGCAAAACTGCCACACTTGTTGACAGTTTCAACAGCGAGGTCAAGCAATGAGCAGCGCCCAGGAATGAACTGCTTTACCTCCAGAGGTGGCTACTGCAGAAGCAGGGCAACAGCCAGTCCTGCAACAGCTCTGCCACTTTTTGCAATGGATCTTTATCAGGGATTGTCACTCTGCAACCCTGCCTGAGCATCACATTCTCATGCTATTTTATTTGTAATTACACTGACTGAAAAGATTATTTGCTAATACGAAGTTAAGGGATAAGAATCCAGCGACCTTAAAGAACTCTTTTACATTACCAATTTTGCGTGCATTTTGCAACATAACCTAGAATAGCCAGGATTTAAAATGAAGGATTTAAGTTAGCAATAATAATTGGAAGCTTTGGTCTCAGACAGATGAAATCGACCTATGGAAAATGATCACACTACTGAAACCAACGTATGATCCAGAACACCCAAATTAAAGTTTCAAGTGCTACACTGAGTCTTATTTTGAAAGCTCGTACTGTATGTTGCAATATTCTAATATTCCTTCATGTAATTGAACATGTGAAAAGGCTCTTCCTTCAGCTTACCTTGCCCATCCCATATGAATTCTTCAAAACAAGATTCAGCAAGGATCAAAATGGACTACACTGCATTATTTTTATTATGTTTATTAACCAACTGAGATGAAAACTGTTCTCATGGATGAAAAGCTTTAAAATTCTCAATTATGAATACACTTTCTAATTACTATTTGATATTGTTTCCATACGTCTGAAAAAAAGAAACCGACTGGGTAATTGACTAAGCAGTTACCTGGTTTCAGGGGATTTAAGTCTCCTTCCTTGTAATTCAGTGGCAGAACTCCAGCTGACTTAAAAACCAATGATCCCTTTATACACTTCTACTTGTTCTATTAAATAGAAAAGTCCACTTCTGCGTAACTCTTCAGGTCAAGAGGACTGCACCTGAGGCAACAGATCTGAACATGTTTGGTTCTTAGCAGGACATTAATCTAGAGGGTTTTTTCGATTTCATATAGTACTTTCGATTAAATGACTATGAGCACAAACTACACTATATTCTATGAACCACTAATTGAAGAAGCAGAAACATCAATGTCAGAGTCATCTATGAATGCATGCCACATCAGAACTCCAGTCTGCTTTACATTCCTGCTGACAGTTCCCATAATGAGCAGGCAGCATTAAATAAAAACCATGACCTGTTTAAACAAAGATCAGAGCACCAGCTTTATCTTTGCATTCTCTAATGTTTGTTGTTTGTCATCACAAACTAACACCAAAGCAAGTCTCTCGTTAATAGCAGCCCAGAAGGTTTTCGTACAGGGCATGAGGGGATGGCTCCTGTCCACCAAGAACATTTGTGTATCTTTAAAATGGGTATTTTACTTCACACGAACATACACAGGTATTCTCTGCAGCTACTCTGCTTTGAATTATACCACAGGAGACCAGGAAGAGAAGAAAGGAGGTAGACAGGACAATGTACAAGCAAGTAATTTTAAAGATTTCTTACGTCTCGGATAGCTTGAGACAATGAAACAAACCCCGAGAGCCAAGCTAAAACTGTTTAAACAATCCATTGAAATTTTATGGGTAGTAACTAATATTAATCAGTTCACATACGTATCATTCACAGGAAAACTACTACATTTAATAATTTTAAAAAAAATCTATCTCCAAATAGAAATCAGCCCCCCCCCCCTTATTTTTGTAGCACACTACCAGAGAGTTAACAGTGTCTGGCATCACAAAACTGTTTATTATGAAGAGGTGCAACACAGATTGCCATTTTACAATGACTCCATAACTGGTCTCAAAAGATGCATGATTTTTTGGTAGCCGAATTTCAGACATACACTTTTAAAATGTAGCCTTGCATTTTAAATATCTACCTTAGAAAAACAGAGAGTTCACTTTATCACAAGCTAATCGCAAAGTTTAGTAATTATTAGCTATCAATTTATCCAGAATATCCAGAGTTCCTTTACACTAGTCTAAATTAACCACAAAATTCATTAAACTGAGGGTGAAATGTCTATCAATACCATATATTATCAGCAGATCTCTCAATGGTAATACTGTCAAGGTACAGACTGTGCATGCAAGAATCTTCAACCATTGATCTTCCGACCACAAGAACGGAACGTTTGAAATCTGCCCAGTTTCTTCACGTTTCCCATCCATACCCTCTGTGTTACTCACGGACAAGCACACCCATTTATAAACGTATTCCACACTACCGATCTGAAAGTACGAGAGAGAAACCACTAATCCTAAGAAAGCAGTGAAAAGAACTGAAATCTCTATCTAAACGTCCTTTATGTTTTGTTTTGTTTTGGGTTTTTTTTTGGGTTTTTTTGGTTGGTTTTTTTTTGGTTTTTTTTTTTTTTTGTTGGTCTGCTATGCTGCTTTGAGCGTGCTGGATACCAAATAACAGCGCAATAAATCACATGCAAATCGGCATGAATCCTACCAAACTTATCCGAGCAGTTTCCTCCCGGAACAAAACTTTGGAGGTCACTCAATCCTCTCCTACGACAAAGGGAAGTTCTTCCTCTTCCATCACCCCTTCCCCCGGCTGTGCGAGGGGAAACTAGCGGGGAAGGCGCGCACGGCTTTTCCGCGGGGGCTTCCTCGGCGGTGCTGGCCGGTGTCGCGGAGCTCGGCGCGGGGGATGCGAGCGACGAGCGGCCGGGGCGCCCGGGGGTCCCAGCCCGGCCTCCGCGGCAACTCTGCGAACAAAGTAACTTCGCGGCTGGGCGGCGGCGGGGCACGGCGGGGCAGCGGCCGCTCTGCCCGGCCGGGGAGAGCAGCCCCCGAGGGGCAGGCAGGCTCCGCGGAGCGCGGTGCCAGCGCTTACCTTGCTCCGCAGCCCGCTCCGCACGGCCGGCGGCAGCTGCGCCGCGGGGCCGGGGCACGGGATGCTGCGAGGCTCCCGGCGCCTCTCCCTCCGCCTCTCCCGATCCTCAGAAAAGCCCTTCCCCCGCCTCGCTCCCCCCTCCACCGCCCGCCTCACTCTTTCTAGCTTTGGGGTATAGATATTGTGTGTATATATATATATATATATGTGTGTGTGTGTGTGTGTGTGTGTAGATATATAGATATATATATATATATATATTTTTTTTTTTTTTTAAGAAGGCAAGAGGAAGCTTGGTTGGGAGAAGCAAAACCCTGACGCGCTTGGGGGTGGGTAGGTGGGGGGTGCGGCTGGGGGGGTTTCAGACCCTCGCACGGCGACACAGGCGGACCCATCCCCCCCACCCCGTCTCCTCGGTCCCCAGCCGTGGGAGGCGGTCGAACCTCACCGCCTTCCACCGATCCCGCATCGGGAACGGGCCCTGCGCGCGATTCTCCCGCCCGGGGCAGCCGCCCGGACCCCAGCCCCGACCCCCATCCCCGCGGGGGCAGCGGGGCGGGGGGGCCTCCCAAATACGTACCGTGCCCGCCGGGGCCGGCTTGAAGACGCAGGATTTTGTGCGAGCGATCGTCTCCTTCTCCGGGAGCTCAGCCTCCCCTCCCCCCCGCCTCCCCTCCCCCGCCTCCCCCACCTCCTTTGGGGGGCCAGGAATCCCCCACTGCCGGCCCTGCCTCCTCCCCGCCCGGCCGGAGCGGTGATGCGCCGGGGCCGCGGCGCTGCATGGCCCCGGAGCTCGGTGCCCGCGGCCGGGCTGCGCCGCGGCGGAGCGCGGGCCGCCCCCTCCCGCCGCGGGCGCGGGTCAGCGGGGGCGGCGCGGGGCCGCCTCCGCCGGGAGGGGAGCCGGCGAGCCCCGGCCCCGCCGACGGGCTGCGCGGCCCGGGGC